TGTATACTATGAACAAAGTACAGTACATTTGTATGGTGCACACTACAGTACACAAATACAGTATATAAAATACTGCATAGACATATTCAGTATAAACTATGATTTATAGTCTATACAAATCATGCTAGTCCTACAGAATACCCCGATAGTGTATAGTCCACACAAAGCTAAAAATTAGTCCACACAACACACACGAAGTCTATGCAGCATAACACCGCCGTCTATACAACAGTCACTCCAGTTTATCGAGTGAACACATCGATAGAGTCCACAATGCAGTCTAGAACAGTACGATACGCGCAGCCGGTAAGTCTGGGGTCTACATGGTACAACCAACACATCAGTCACACTGCACCCTATGCGGTGCAGCAGGCACGACCCCGTACGGCCTCGACAAGACCCACGGCACGCTGCACCACCACCACCGATGGGCACGGCCGTCATCCACACAACGTCACTCCCCGTTCTCTGCTTGACGACCTCAGCCGCTATGCGCGCATGAGAGGGCAAGCGACGACGGTGACGCCGTCGATTCGAACTGATGGTAACGATGGTAACGCCGTCGATGTTAACTGATGGTAACGATGGTAACGCCGTCGATGAGAATTTCTAATTGATGGTAACGATGGTAACGCTCACCCGGTTCAACCTCACCTCCAAGCGCGCCCGTTACTCCCGGTCACGTGACGCACGGCTAGCGAGGGGCGGGGCGTGAATGGGGGGGGCGGGGCATGTGACTCCGCCCCCCCCCTCCCGCTTTTGTGAGCGCTCGGACGAATCAGCGGCCCCGTCACTTGGCTCCCACCCTCCCCCCGTGACCCCCTCCCCCCACTCGGGGTAATCAATAATCAGTAAATCCCGTCATTATTTGCAGGATGTTACGTAATCTGTAATTGATCATTGAAATTATGGCTCATAATCACGTACAGGGTCAGTCCGGGGCAACCTTCAGTTTGGGCGTCATTGAAAACACTCGTTTCTATAAGCAAGGTCCCTAAATTAATTTAAATAGCAAATATCAATACCTGTACATTTGCCAATAACACTGTGGCCTTAAATGAAATATTGTATACCATATATAAAAGTGGAAACGTTTCGGCTAATGGACCTTCTTCACATGGGAAGACATCTCGGATGTGTTGTTTGTAACGTCACTCTCATACGAAAATAAATATTTGCTGAACACGTGGCTCGGGATCCGTGTCCAGCAATATCAGTTAATTGCCAGATAATTATTGTGCATGAATTATATTCTCACGCAATTTCCCGTCAATTACAGAGAGCGTTATATATGATGCATATCCATTTTATATGAATGGATATTAATTTAAGATTTTAAAGCATTCTCTAATAGACACTATTTTACTCTTTAACACGAATCACCGCAATCTACAAATGGTAGCAACGTGATGTGGACATCGCTGTCAAGACAGACGGTTTAGCCCGTATTCTTGTACAGGGAAATTGAGTTTTCAGGTCCATACTGCGTACAGCCGTTTCAATACGGGCAAAACATGTGACCCATCTACAAGACGGATTAACTCAGCTCCGCACTCCACTAAAGTCCCCTACATGGCCCCTTCCTAAATCCCCCCCCCCCTTAACCTGTATTTAAGCTCGAGGTTCCCAGAGCCTCAGAAAGACGTTTTAAATCATACCAAACGTTAACTAATTTCTAACAGCAATTTCAAGCAGTGGTATACCAAACATATTTTTTTCCGAACTTTTCTATTTCCCTTTTTTTTCTACTGCCCCCGTACAGCACATCCTCGACGATCTTCTTGAATTTTCTTCTGTTTTTTTTCCCCCCGTTTATATTGCACACACACACAATGACCCATCGACACAACAAAAGACGGATTAACTCAGCTCCGCACTCCACTAAAGTCCCCTACATGCCCCCCCCCCAACCTGTATTTAAGCTCGAGGTTCCCAGAACCTCACCACTTGGTGCAGTGATTTTGCTGTGACTGGTCCCACCTGAAGACGGAAGCTTGCTTTGCCTCCGAAACGTCGTGTTTTAATTGTTTATTTATTTTATTTCAATTTACTTTAATTTGTTTTACCTACGTGACTTTACCTAAAAAAACCAAAGAGTATGTGTCTGTTTGTGTTTCTCTCTTGTGATGGGACTTTGTAGGATGAACTTTGAGATTTATAAGGGCACGGGGTGAACCAATAAGGTGTGAATTGGCCTCTAATCGGGTAGACACTGATAATGGGTTGACAGGTTTGTGTGGAGGGAGAGAAACTGAGGCGACCACGTGGAGAGAGTCACGCAAACTCCAAATATGCAGCAGGCGCCTCCTGTGTACAGGGCGACGGCGTCAACATCCTGCCACTGTGCTTTTGTGATGGAGATTAAAAACAAACCATTCAATGAAAACCACAAAAAGCACGACTTGAGACGTGACAGCGTCTCCCTGGGTCGCTGGACCCCTGGATAATTCTAAAGGACGACGCGAAGTGGGCATCGCCAGGCTCCTTTCGGCAACATGCCGCGTGCCTCCAGCAAGCGTGGCGCGAGGTTCACCAAGAAGCCACAGGGCGAGAGCTGCCGTGGGTCCTGCCGAATTCGGATGGACGTGGACACGTGTGTGGCTGGCTCCGTGCCCTTTTGCCGAGAAAGTTTATTCGCCCGGACTTTTTATTTATTTATAGGCAACGTTGCGCAACGCGAATGTGAGCGCGCAGTTGTTGTTCGTACAACGAATATCGGCACGGAAGATAACAGGTCCCTGCAGGGTGGGCTGGTAGGACAAGTCTCTGCGCTGTCTATTGCTGATTTTACACCCAACAGCACGATATTTCACTTCGTTAAAGTATTGAAAGGGGACGGACGGACGGACACATTAATCTATTGCAGGCTGGTACACTCGGTTTACAACTTCGTTCCTACCAGTATAATTGTGTTTCCTTGAGGACATTCAAGTGCAGGGGCGCAGTCATGATCACCGCCAATCACCATCACCACTACCCACTGCCTGAGCCTGGCTGCATGGAGTGAAGGCCTCTTTCTTACCGATGGCGTTGCCATTTCACTGTCCGGTCCCGCGGCAAACGCGTTTCATTCCTTGGCTGCCACCCGACGATTGGTCTTGACCGTGCGCTTTCACCAATTGAAACAAAAACCGTCGAATTTCAATCCCGAGCACTGCCTTTGTGAGAACAGAAAAGGCATCTGCAATGGACCGACGCTTCAGGCAACGGCCATTCTCCACGTGACGTACCTCGCAGAAGGCCACTGCCAAAAACATCGGCACATCATGTCGCGTTTAGTTTCTGTTGCACGGCGCCTAAAGGAGGCAGTGTGAGTGACGAGCATATTGATCTGTGCGTGTGCACCACTGCGGACCTGAATTCTCAAGTTGTTTTATTCCATCATCAGTCTTATCCATCGGTCATCATCCCAAGCCCAGTGATGTTTCATCCCTTATTCACGTGGAAGCTCATTCATACTCGAACTACGATTGGTAACCAACCACCACGATTCCTACCAGTATTGTCCTTATGAACCAGACGATCTAAGATAGTCTGCTCTTCATCCGCACACGCAAATGTGGCATCACCAACACACTCAGATCCCCCCCACTGACCCCCAATCCAATCCTGGATCAATTTAATAATTCCACTCACCGTCTTTTAGATCATCCGTGGACTATCTTGCCTACCTCTCATCTCACTCTACTGCCCTCCACGGACTCTCCGCTACCAGCAAACAAGGCTTTCTATAGAAGCACCTCGTCAACAGCGTCTAGAGATGTGGATGCATCTTGACACGACAGTCATGGTTCTTAATCTGGCGGGCACGCACCCCCTGGGGGCTGCGACACATGCCATATTTCTTTTTCATTAAGCACGGGCACGTAAGTACAACTACTTTGTTTCATCAAACCCAAGTATTTATTAACATATTCTTTGGGTCTTTCGGTAAAACCACGGAGATGGAAAAATATCACGTTTCGATCGCAACACAAGCAATCGTCATCACGTTAAAGAACATAGCGGGAGAGCTGCTGAGGCAGGAAAACATCCTGCCTCGGCAACTCTCCCGATATATATTTTCACCTGATGACGATTGCTTGTGTTGCGATCGAAACGTCGTGATTAATTTTTTTATTTTTCTATCTACGTGGCTTTACCGAAAGACCCAAAGAATATGAATTTCTGCAGTCACGAAAGCTTTAAGTCAATATTTATTATCATTATACATGTTTTTTTTACGATTGGGAACCAAAGGGCTGCAGTAAAGGTTAAGAACCACTGCTCAATAGTATAAAGCCAGATTTTATTTTAGCCCTTGGTTTTGCCCACTGGAGCGAGCGGTCGTGAAAACAAATTAAGGAGTGCGCATTGAACAACTTATCCATCACGACGCAGCACCAGTGCGAATACCGTATCACAGATGCGTTGGCTCGTGTGATTTAGATTCCTTGAAGTCGAGGACCTGGGAATTATTGTAATGGTTGGTAGAAAACAACCACGTGGGCCCATGAAGACAAGGGGGCTGGCTACACACGAGTGTGTGCACACAGTTCATGTTTTTCAACATTGGTTAAATGTCTAAAGAAACCCAGCAAAAGCCCAGGATACGTGTACAAAGGACAACGGGCAATGGACACCAGTTTGAACACGACAGGGAGGAATGAGGGTATTTTTAATTGTTTTGAGATCGAAGACTGCCATCTGGAAGAAAACAGAAACACATCGGATTGCGTACACCTCGGGCAGTTGTCGAGAGCAAAAACGATGGTGTGAAGAGCCGGACAGCCTGGAAGTGCGTTCGGTAAACGGCACGTAACAATGAGAAACGCACCAATGTGGTTGAAGAATGACGTTTTCAGTCGGTGCACATGACCTGTTGTGACCTATGGGTTACAGCTGCTGCTGCTCATGAAGCAATCAGTAGGGTGGGACTTCTTAAAATATTGAAAACGGCTCAAAATGTTTCAATGGACCACACAACTGAACTCCAGCAAAAAATAAACACCACACTTATAGCATGTTCATTATAATTTAATATATATCATGTTTTAAGTATACAATGACCCTCCTGAAGTGTATTGCAGTGGTTTGAAAAAAAATGCCATCATAAACAATAATAAAACAGTATAATACTGTCATACCTGATTATTTGTTACACATTCCATCACAATTTGATGAACACATCTTCGTACGCTCCAGGCAGCCCACCATTGTTCCCCCCGTTGTGCTTATCAACATACACAACAGGAATTAACAATAAAGCGCTTGAACCGCCTCCAACCAGCGAGTCACAAGTCGGCAAGGACATCCTGGAGTGGCGGCGCGAGGGGTGCCACGGGCAGACACGCGGCGACGGCTTGCGTGTCACAAACACCGCCAGCCAGTACCGGGAAAAATAGAATCATCCGGGCAGATACTCGCTTCGCCCCCCAGTGCTGCCAGCAAACTCCACCGAGGCCGGTGCTGTATGGTACGACGGAAATCTAAACCACCACCACCCCCCTCTCTCTGGGCGCACTCTTGTCGTCATCGTAAGGGTACAAAGCAGAACATGGTCATTTCAGGTTGCGAATTAAATATTTTGAAGAAAGAAAAATTGTCTGCAATTACTCTTTAAAAAATAAACCAACATTTCTCGTTTTTTTCTCTTTTAGTTTAAAACTGCGGTTAGTGCTCCTGTGGACTTGTGACAGGCCAGATCGTTACTGCACCAAGAGACTCGAGCAATCAATCACATCACCAATTCATTTGAGTTACATTTTTTTTAAACGCAGTAGTCACGACACATGTATATACAGAGCAAAACTGTAAACAGCTTCAGAAGTTTAACTATAGGCTTTGGTGACAATTATTTGAAATTAGAAATATGTCCCGTCACATTTTAAATTATGAAAAGACGATTCCAGTTATTATTATTTTTAAATTGCATGTGTACACCGGTAAATAGACTACAGGAAAAAAAAATAACAAGACAACGTTCTTACTTTGTAAATGCTTTCTTTCTAAAAACTAGAGAATAAGATAGAAAGGATAATCAGTGTATTCAGCGCTAAAATAATCTAGCAATGAATGGGATTTATAAATGTAGCTTTGTGTGAAATAATGGTATTTAAAAACAATAACATTAATGATAAGCATAGTATTAATAAAGAACCTTTTTGCTTCAAATATTGTGCTCCGAGAGCTTAAATTTCGCGCATGGCGACAATCGAGGCTCTCTCTCCCACAGCGCTCTGCATAGCCGGCAGACGCATTGTTTGTTCCGTGAATGTAACTGCTGACAAATAAATAACCCCGACGATGCACGCGGTAAGGCACAGTGGACAGAAAACTCTGCCCTCTTCAGAGAACCATTAGAAAACACATGGGGCGGGGCGGGAGCAGGGAACGTTGAGCGTGCCGGTTCACGAATGTAGTGCGAGCGACGACGACGACGATGATGACGACGATGGGTAACACTTAACGTTCTCTTCCAGTGTATTGTAAAATCGACATTGCCATCCCTATTGTATTGGTTTTTTTTTAGACAAATATAGTAAAAAGAAAGCCAACAAATAAAGCCAAGCTTTGGTAAATATTCTAAGCAGCAGGAATTAACGTATATGTTCATCATTTGCGATTTTTTTTTTGTTTTAAATATTTAGACACCGACTATCCTTTTTTTTGTATTTTTCCCTTTTCTTCCATTTAAGCAGTCGAGGCTAAGAACCCTTAGAGGGCCACATGATTCTAAATTAATTAATTTTACAGAAGGGCTAAGCTAGTTCATGCTACCCGTATTCAATATACTACAGTGTAAATGGCAAATATATGTGTGTCTATACCGTATTACTTTGCTGGCAGATAAATTGGTGGAAATTAATCAAATAACTACTCAAAAAAAGTAGGTCAAGCTCACTTTAGGCCCTCCCCCCACCCGACACAGAAATCCATCAACTTGTGCAAAAAACACACCGATTGATGAACAGCAACAACATGTGTTGCCACAACGGAGAGCACGGGGTACGCCACCTCACACCAACTACAGCGTCTTCGTACGAGCCGAAGACGCCATAGTTGCACAGGACAAAGCTTAGCGTGACCCTGGGGCGGCTCCCACAGCTCGACCCCTCCTACAGCTCAGATTGCCACCACGGCCGTCTGAGAGGCTGCAGTCACAGACAGCCCTGGCTGCGGTGTTAAGGGTGCCGCCATAACGACTTTGGATGGGGCGGGGGGGGGAGAGCGAACGGGCGGGCGAGCGGCGCGAAGCGGGGCAGGCGAGCGAAGATGGGCAACGACGAGAAAGATTTCCGTCACTGCAGCCGGTCGGCCTGCAGGGGCGGCGGCTGGAAGTGCGCGAAGGGCGCGATGGCGGGCGTGTGCGACGCGGCCGGGGGGCTGGCGGTGCCAGCCATGCCGGAGTGGTGCGCGTAGCCGTAGCCGGGCGGCGTCACGTAGCCGGACGCCGCGGCCGCCGCCGCCGCCGCGGCCGCCGCCGCCGCCGGGTAAGCGTACTGCTCGTAGGCGTTGGCGTACTGCACGTACGCGGCGGCGACGCCGCCGCCGCCGCCCGCGTGCGCCGCCGCGTAGTCGGCGAGGTACGGCGAGACGGCGGTCGCGTGGCTGGGGCCCTGCAGCAGCAGGCTGCCCGGCTGCATGAGCGCCTGCGGGTAGACGTACTGCGCCGGGATCCTGCACGCACGCGCAAGCACACACGCACAGTTCGACCGGCGCACGGACTAATCGCGTGGTGAACGTGTTCGGTCATACCGTGCATCGCCGCTTACGGCCGGGCCTCAATGTCAAATTCGGGCAGAGTCGTCATCACCAGAACGTGATTAGAGTCCCGTGAATGCGACTCGGAATCTGTCGGGGTCGCCACTCTGCCTATCATCCATATTGGGAGTCAAAATAATTAGCACAGCTTAGGTGGGAATTCATCATGGATCCCGCCATGGGAATGTGGAACTTCTACCAATTGCTCAGAGCGACCCAGAAGCGAGCAGGGCCGCCCAACCCGTGCGCGTTTGAGCTGCCAAGTAATTTGCGGAAAGGACGATGGCGTTGACGTCGTGCTTAAGTCGGTGGAAACAATTTTAACGTAAAAAGGATCTTTTTGTTCTCTTCGTTCAAGCGAGGTGTAATCGTTTCAAAAGCTTAAATATTTTAAATTAAGGCCAGATTATGTAGTAAAATGTGCTAAGAAAAGCACACTTTTTTATATATACAAAACATGCAATTAAGTTAACACCAAATTGTTTAGCAATTTAGGCGCCGTTGCTGCTGCAACATCGAATCTAGGTTATTTCACTAATTATTTTCAAATTATTCCCCAACGGCCGCAACGCGGTGTTGACAGTATAACCGAAGTGTTCAAAGACACGGTGGGGGGGGAGAGGAGGCACGGAGAGAGCGAGAGAGAGCCCGCCAGTGACCCGAGTGGAGTGCACAGAGCGTCACGGTGCGGGTTATAGGTTGGTGCAAATATTGAAACAAATAATCGTGGCACACATTTGTTATCTCATCCAATTAACAGTGTACCTGGCATGACTCGTTTGATACCAATCCGAATTCAAAGTCTCGTGTCATCATGGCACTGGACTGTGCAGTGTTCCATTAAATAAATACACCACACCTATAATTTGCATAGCAATACGGCAATCCTCATAATCCATATCAAACACCATGCCACACCGCAAGTCCAACATCAAAATCAAAGTGGACATCCATTATAAAATGATTTATACAAAAACAAAACAAGCCAAACAGCAATGCACACATTTATGGAAATATAAGAATAAAAACAGCAGTGAATATAAAAAGAAAGAGCGCAAAGGACTAAGTACAAAAGATCTGGCGCTAAAAGCATGCAACACTCGGAAATTAACTGCTCGAAATAACAGGAATGAAAAATGGTACACATTTAATTTTTTTTATCTAGCATCACTTTGATCTGCCCAACAGAAAAATCCTCCTGCCAAATAGCCTTCCGGGTACCAATAAACAACCTTATTTGGTGCATTACTCTGCCCGACTGCCTGCAGATGTGTACATCAATGCCAGACACATCACGAGTAAATAAAATCTGCAACAGTCGTGAGCGAGGATACTTGACATGCCACATGCAGATCAGAGCAGTCCTGGCGACGTGTGTCACCTCATAAAAATGGCACGCACAGCAACAACTCGTTATAGATTTGCATTAGCAACGCAGCACTCAAATAAACATCTGCAATATTGTGCGTTGTCCAGACAGATGACGGTCCGTTTCATCTCAAAGTAATAATCCAAAAGCATCTTGGCTTTTCCTGTGGTGGTCGATAAAGCACGATAAAATAACGACATAAAAAACACGACTGTGACATTTAAGCTATCGCTGTATTGTGTTTTTTGTGCCCGTCTACAATTATGCGGCTCAACACAAGCTTCAGTACGTGTCGGGCAAAGTCAGATAAATCACATATCGCCCGGTGCCGATATCAGCCAGAGCTAAGCGCAAGGGCACCTCAAAAACATTGGGCTGCCGCCTATTGACGTAAATCAAAGGGTTGTTTCTGTGAAGGTGTCCCCGCCAAAACTGCGAGACTGCCCCTTTAAAAAATTCCACTTCCTTGGCAGATAGACGGCATGCACATATACGGCCAGGGACGGCATGCCACCCGTGTTCGGGGCTCAAGTCTATTCTTAACTCCCATCAACGCCGCACGTGACTCCCATTTATATTCAGGCACCCCCCCCTCGACAACCCCCCTCCTTAGCCGCCCGCCCCCCCCCCACCCCTTCCAGCGTTGACCGCGCACATTTCCATCCGCACCGAGAAACGCTCCCACGTCCGAGACGTCGCTAGCAAGTCCGTACGTGGCACAGCGTCGCCACTCGCGATTGACCCGAACACCCCGACGCTGCCGGCAGCTGGGTGGAACTGCGAACGGCGCGCCGCAGGACACCGCAATGCAGAGGTCGCAGGTTCGATTCCCCGTGCGGCAGTTGCCGGCACCGAGGGGCACGTTTCTTCAATCCCACCGCGTCCGTCCACCCAGCAAGATAGCCCAGTTAGTCAGTAGGCTGGCTGCGTGTGATGGGGTAAAGTGTGGGTAATCCCACCTGTTCCAAGCCATTTGGCCAACATGGAAGAGTAGGCCAAAATAGCCTCGAGGGTTTCTCTCGTGGAGGCCTTTCTGCCAGCAATGGCATGAGCAAGTAATTGCCTTTACGTATGCACGTATGTATTATGAACTTCTTGCAGACCGTAATTAGCCAACCATGCTAATCCTAGGACTGGATTGGTGCAAGAAAGCTGCTGTGCCATCAAGATATTGGATCATCGTAAATCACAACGAAGGCATCATCTCCACGACGGAGCGGGAAGATGGAACTACGCACCAATTCAATCTCAATAGAGATTCGAGGGCAATTTATGATTGAGTTTTGTAAAAAATATATCTTTTTTATTTTACGTAAGGCCCACAGTGCTATAGTTATTTTTTCAGAAGCGAACTGAGCACACATGGGATGGAACCCCCAACCTCCTGTAAACCATGCGAGAGTTAACATCTTGCCACCGTGAACACGAAACCAAGATGACACATACAGAACTCGTGCTGCAAAAGCCACTTTGGACAGGACCCACTAACAAGTTATCTGCATAAAAACAGGTAAAGGTAGAGCTCTGCAATTGCTCACTCACACCACTGCTGGCAGAAGGGCCTCCACTAAGAGGAAGCTCGAGAGAGCCCCTATAGATGGTATTATATACACACTGGCCAGGTATCTTGGAAGAAGTGGGAAAACCCACACTTTACCTCTCCACACACGATCTGCCAATGGACCGACTGCGGTCAACCATTTAATTTGCTGGGTCTAAATAAAAAGGCAACTCAAATGGTGACTATATAATCAACTAGTCTGCATCCAGAATATAAACTTAGCCACCAACTGTCAAAAATCCATTTCATACAAGTACATTTTCTATCCTGTCAACACTAAACCGTGGCGTAAAAAGGCGGCTATTGTTTTTTCAGAAGGCCTGTTGGCTCTACGTGTTGGTGACAGTTGTAATGTGCAGAGCTCCATCACCCACTCGGTTGAGTGTGTGTGATCAGCTGTTACACGGTTAAACATAGCTCACAGGAAGGCAGACACTCTTGACAGACAGACAGAAAATGCGGCAGCCAGATTACTGCCATCTTATTTTTTTGTGGGCGCAAAAAAAAAACCCGCACGCAGTTTTTCGCGTTGGTAGCCACAGAAATGTGGTCCTGGCTCATTTATTTTGAGCGGCTTTAATTTATTTACGACAAACGGACAAATTATCGGCCTCCTTTGTCACAACGTAGAGACGCGCAAACGCCAATTAATTCTGCCCACGGTATTTTGCATTTAAATGCGACAGCGCCAAACATGCTGCCACAGGCCTCTGATGAATGTGGGTTGGTGCGGCTTTTTTTGTAGAACTTTCAAGTGACACTTATTATTCCGTTGCCCAATCTATTATTTCCCACCCCCGGTGGGGGCAGTACCACCGTGCCCTCTCATTGATTAAACGAGCAATAGTTTTGCATACTCATTACTGATATTCACTGTATAAGACCCTCTCTTTGTTATTACATTAAACTTTTTTTTGAACAGGTATGGCCCACGAGCTATATAGATAATTTTCAGAAGTGCCCTGGCCACAAATAATAGCTCAACGAAGTGGCTTGTCATCATGTGGAAATTGAAAGCAGACAAATACGTTAAACGCGTGTTTGTAAATGTGGGGGGGGGGGAATCAGGAGGAACCGGAAAAAAATCCACGCGATCATGGGGAGGGAGAACACGCAAACTCCAAATATAGAGGAATCAGGGTCGGGATCAAACCCATGACCTCCTGCATACCAGGCGAGTGAGTTAACATCTCACAACCAATAGCAGATTAACTGCTATGCAGTCAATCGCCTCTCGCCATGTCCCCTCCCGCGCGATTTCCATTCAGAAGCCGAGACGGAGGCGTAATCTAGCGCCGCGCACGTGGTCCATTTATCGGTTGCCCGTCACCGATAGCTGCGAGTGCCCAGACTCCATTCAGACTCTCAGCACCATTTTGGGAGCGAGGGTTTCTCACCGTGGGGAGTGCCACTTGCACCACGAGGCACGTGGCACGCACCTCAAGAGGCTTTAAAGGAGTTGGACTCCACAGTCAGATACGATATGTGCCAATATTCCACTGGAACACTCCGTCCCAAAGCAAATGACTGCGTTCATGCGCAGCGGTACTTAAATAATCGTTCCAACGTTAGATGCGTATCATTTGCGCCCACCGGCTATGGATCTATACGTAGTGAACTCGCACGTATCCAGAACCCATTTGTAAAACTCCCCCAGAAAATGTTTTTGAGTACGCTTTGTTGATTGTATAATCTAAGAATGTTTTGGCTTTTGGAGTACTCTTCAGCATGCACGTGCGTGTCTGCGGCATCGGCCCGATTACATCACACAGGCTTGGGTGCTGCTCTGATCAATTCCCATTCACCGGCCTCCGCAACTCTTGCGTGCAGGACCAACAGCCTAGAAAGGCAGGGTAATAACAGGGAGTAACAGTTCCAACAAATTCCCCCCACCATCTCAATGTATTTGCTGAAATTTGTTCGCACCGTAGGTAGCCAACTGCGCTAATAGGAGGGGCAGGGGAAGGACAAACTAAAGAATTTCCGATGGAGTAATCCACGGAGCTCCTGCAGACCAGCTAATCTGTGGCCGTGGCAAGCATCCTATCGGACGCGTCCCATTTGACAACCACGCAACTATTTTTCTTTATTCCCTTAAGCAACATGTCCTGCGCCCAAAGGTGATCACGTCTCCTAACACTTCAGATGTCACGAACCCGCATATCTATACAGCTCAACCAGCTCAAGCCTTCCGTAAAACACGTGACCTTACGAGTGGAGACCCCCCCACTCGGCTCTCCCCGCCCCCTGAGAAAGCAGACGCTGCTTCGTGCGGCTCGCTTATGCTCCCAGCTCCTTCGCTCTTCTTCCACTCTTCCGTCTCCTATTCCCAACATCGCAAACCTGGTAATTCCCTCACCCCTGTTCCATTCATTCCTTTCTCTTTCCACACAGTATAGCCTTCACTCAACTCCTCTTCCCGAAGTGTGCCACGGCCGAAATGGTTTTTGTTCTCTAATCCTACAGGTTCCCCCCTTTCGTCTCGCAATGTAATTCCCAAGCGTGCATCTGTCTATTGCATACACACTATTCCGTTTTTGTTCCGTTGTTTTGACCAATGGACCGCGTTTCTAAACCACGCCATTGCAGGCAATGCGCACGGATTAAAAATGTCATTCGTTGTAGACAAAAAAAAGACTAAAATACCCCCGCACACCCGGCCACACTTCCTTGTGAAATCCGTCCCATCTCACTGGCAACGGGCAGGAGCGGCTCCCACTGGGAGCGTCGTTGAGCCAGCGAAACGAGTTCGGCCCCCCCCCTCCAGAAGACGTCCCAACAAGTCGGCACTGCCAGCAGTGCAATTGTCACGATTCGGCATCTCAAATAGATAAAAAAAAATTATTTGTAATCTAATTTTAACAGTCTCATTCGTGCCGTTTAACGTCGAGTCTCGCTTTGCGCCACGTAAATTTGCGCACACGATAAATAATCGATTCTTACGAGCGCAGGTCGAGGCGTGCGTTTTGTGTTTCATCGGTATAAAACTACGACAATTAACACTCTCTCCAGGGTTGTACAAACCCCACGGGGTTAACGATATTATTCGCAAGTGGCAGTCCTGTCACACTCTGCACCTCCCCAACGGTACATCGTATGCAACAACAAAAAAACATTTGGCTTCAGAGAGGACTTTACCAAAAAATTGTCACCCGTCAGAATTAACATTTTGGCACCGAAATTTCCCCCCAAAAAAGTATTTCCAATACAAACCAATGGGAGCGAGAATTTTGCGGAGGCCCATTTGACCTACATTGAACCATTGAACCCCATGGTTACGCATTCCGTCATCTGTCCCTTAAGCCACGTCTATGGCCTCGCAGCTCAACCGGCTCAAGGTAAGCGCCGTGGCTGTGGGCCGGCTGGAAATAACGGCCCCAGAACGACCCCAAAAACAACACCAGGAGAGCACAGGAGAGGGGGGGGGGTGTTCGCGACGACCAACGATTTATCCGTTCAAATGGAGACCATCAAAATCGTGATATGGACATCGAATAATGCATTGGGATAATAGTTAACGATTCAAGCAAATGATGTGCGAATGGAATGTACCAAATTCTACAAACGATATGAGAAAAACACAAATGATTAGGCAAAAAAATTAGATGAAAATATTTGGTGCTTGAATTAAATCGTGACCCTGTACCGTTTAAGGTTAAAGTGATTTCTCTATTAAAATGAGGATTGATGCATTGCTTATATCCCGTTTACAGCCCTCAACGTGGTGGAATAATTCCACATTCCTCTGGTAGGGAGCAAGTTACTCCATAGCACATGATATCCTAGAAGGGTTACAGAGATTCAATATCACATAACGGAGTCTATTCCCTACAAATAGACAAATGCCAAAAGAACAAATGTTCTTGTTTGAACCACAAAGAAGATTACAGCCTGGAAGTCAAATGGGTTCATTCATTGTTCAGAATCGGCCTAGAATGATTTCAACACTCTAGACAAACCATTAAACAAACAGTTCCCCATCATTGGTGAAGCAGACAATTTACTTCCCATTTGGTGTGCCACATAATCCAGAGAGTAGGCAAGG